GGGATTTTTTTGGGTTAAAATCGTGCCCAGCTTCAAGATTCTATGGTTTCATGCTGTGCAATACGTTTGCCTTTGCTGCCTCCATTGTCCTCATCCCTTTTCACCGGAATACAAGGATGGCACCACCTCTGACAATGATTTCCCTTTTCTTCTTGCTTTTTACTTACCTTACCTCTCTAGGCACCACTTCTCCTAACGTATTTTTCTTCGGTTTTATCTATATTGTAATGGCACTTAGCATTTTTCTTCTCTTTCTTTACGTACCATTTAAATTTAGCCTTATTCATCTCTTTAGCCAACGAAGCCGAAGAACCAACGTACAGAAAGATGCAAGTTCAGAAATAAATTTAAAGATATAATATTGTAATGGCAGCATGCGTAAGTTTTAATAGCAGAAGTAAATTTACTTCTGCTATTACAACTAAATTTAAAGATATATACTTCTACTTATCATTTGGAGTGCACCTCTGTTGCAATAAATTTAGTTTTTTTTTGTTTGGTAAAGATTTCATGATTTCGGTCTTGACTTTGGATGAGATTCAAGTGCCCTATTGCAAGCTTGCGTGATATCGTTTGGGTTCAGTCTAGCTTTTGAAAACCGGAACTACTATGTAAACTATTACATTTTAGCTTAATGTGTGGGTTTGAGTATTCTTCTTCCACTCTTACTTTCGCGAAGTTTGATGTATATGGCCTCAACTTTGAAATGCACTGTCGACAAAATATGCAGTAAGAAAGATATCAAGAAAGATATCAACTACGTATTTTATTATTATTATCATCATCATCATCATCATCATCTTGTTATGTGATGAATTTTATTTTAAATTTAAATTTATTAATTTATTTATCTTTTATTTTGTAAAAGAGTAACTTTTGATAAATTTTTTTTTTCTGATCTTCTGCTATTCTTATTAATTTAAGCAATGATAAAAAAAAATTAAGATGAAAATTTAAAATTAATACATATCATATTATGAGTTTTAAAACAATTAAAAAAGTAATTATTAAATAATATAAAATTTATTTTTTTAATATTTTAGATGACATGTAATTTATTATTATTCTATTAATGTATTTGAAATTATTTGCTTTTACGTTGATGAAATGCATAGAAGAAAGTAAGCATTATAATATTCTATGATCCTCCCTCAATCGTCAACGATGGACTCCAACTGCTCTCAACAAGAAATAATATTAGAAAGGGTTTGTCTAGAAAAGGTTTGTCTAGAAAAGATTTGTATATCCTGGACTTTAAAATAAGAAGTAATGATTAAATAATAATTATGATATTTCTTTTAAATGTGAAATTTTAAATTAAAAAATAATTTTTATTTTATAATTTAAAATAAAAAATAAAAAATTAACACATGATATTTACAATTAAAATAAAAGTTAATTTCATCACTTTAGTAAAAAGTAATACTTATTAACCAATAATTATTTTTTATCTTGTGCCTTAAGGATATAGGATAGATAAATTTTATTAGAAAAGAATTTGTCTATCTTATATTTTTAGAATACAAAGTAAAAATTAATGGTTAAATAATAATTATGCTTTTTTTTCTTAAAAATGTGAAATTTAAACGAGGCCGTAACCCAGAAAAGCTTGATAAGAATGAGATTCTTCACATGGACTAAAGAACATAAACTTTTTGAAAATGATATAATTTAATTGATTGGAAATTATAATCTGTGAAAATTTGTTTGGCTTTTCAACTGTTTGGTATCTAAGAAAACAAAGGAAAATATTAATGATAATTAATCGAAATTTTTGTTGTATTTTTATCTTATCTTATTAATTCAAAATTAATATAAATAATTTCAATTAACTTCATATTAATGATAAATTAATTATTATAAAAGTAATTAGAATAAAATTTATTATGTTTAACAATAATATAAGGGCATTTTTGTTCATGTTGATTAATATTTTTATCCAAAGCTCTATATTCCAATAATCAAACCAAACATGTTATTAAATAAAAATATATCTCATCTTATATGGTCCAGTCTAATTTAATCTTTAAAACTATATTCAATCTTATCTAATCTTGCCCTAAACGTGCTCTTAGATGTACAATTTCCTGACAACAGGACCATATTGCTCACGAAATTATGTAATTATAAATACCTTTACATGGTCATTGTAGGTGTTTGATTTCTTAAAACATCGAAGCGGCCAGTACCATTGGGAGATTGTTGTAGAGGAAGACAACACTCAACAGGGGAAAAAAGGTCTATTTGTATAAATCCTAAAGAACGCTTGGAGTTTGTACTTACAAGATAAACAGTTGCTACCCGTTCTGGCCACAATCGTAGTAGCGGCAATGTTCCAAGCCGGATTGAATCCTCCCTCAACAATCTGGGAAAAAGGAGTCTCTCTTGATCAAAATTAAGCTCTTTAAGCTGGATTGAATCTGCTCTATAGTCTATAAGCATAAATGATTTTTCAGATTCTATTCTTTCATGATATCCAATACCTTTGCCCTTGCTGCCTCTCTTGTCCTCATACCTTTTCGTGAGCATGCAGTAATAGCACCACTGCTGACAATGATCTCCCTTTACAGCTTCCTGGATGCTTAGTTGGCCTTTTTAGTTCCATTGCTCCACAGCCGAGCTTTTTCCTCCTTTTTTTTTTTTTTGCATATTTTAACGTTCCTTTGTTAATATCTTCTGTTTTGCATGCCATTGTTTACAATGGGACGTATGGCTGAAGAAAAGTATAAGATTATTTCTAAGCTGAATAATGGATTCTGCAAGTGCGGGAGAGAGTGAATAAGCTGTACTGGAGAATTAAAGCTACTTTTACTTATGGATAGACTGTGCAACTATATATGTTGTAATAAATTCAGATTTGGTGTTCCCCAGAGAAAGCAAGAAGACAAGGAAGCTTAAATCAAGGAAATATTAGGCGAGAAAACTCTGTTTTTCCACTGGTAATTTTCTGTCTAATAGTACTGTGTAATTTTCTGCTATATAAAGGTAAGGATATCAAGGAGAATGTATAGATAGAGATGTAGAGCTCTGCTCCTCTC